ATAAGTCTTTTTTCTCAGAGCACCAAAATTATTCACTCAAAGTTCTTTATCTAGATCAAAATTTGTAACTAATATGTGTTACTTAGAGCCATGCGTTACATAAGTTTATAACTAATAAACACGTATCATCTATAGCCATGCATAAGTTTATAACTGATAAACATGAATCATCTGTAGCCATGTATTACATGTTTATAACTGATAAATATGTATCATCTGTAGCCATGCATTACATGTTTATAACGGATAAATATGTATCATCTGTAGCCATGCATTATATGTTTATAACGGATAAATACGTATCATCTGTAGCCATGCATTACATGTTTAGCCTTCACAGGGCAACTGTGAAGAAAAGCTTTCTTTGCACTTTCTACAGAACATGTTAGCACATGCAGCTGTAGTGGTCAGAAACTGTATGTGAGCCTCGATTTCTAAATTTCTCCTGAGATCTTCCATGCTTGCCTTGATCAAAGAAAAGGGTAGATTTGAATGTGACAGAGATAGAAAATGGCGAACGAAACAGGGATTAAGTGATGGTAGAGAACTGTTTTCCAGACTACTTTATCATATTAGATAATGAATACACGGGTCACACTGTAAAACAGCAAAAGGTTTTCTACATGCAGATTTCAAGAGATGCATTTTTAAATGTTTCATTTTCAAAGATTTCTGCACTCAATTGTAAAGAGCGTTTCCGGTAACATGCATGTTTGTCTTAACTTTTGAGTTTGGTGATGCTTTTCATAACTGAACTCACTTGGCGGGCGCTCTCAGTGAAACTGGCCTCCTGGCCCTCTTGTTATAACTCTTGGCACCTGTTCCTAGTTGTCAACCAGCAGATACCATCAGTACACAGAGGCACAGTTCACGGAGAAACTCATTCTCTTCCGTCTTCGATAAAGCCTGCTTAAACGGAATCCGCATTCGCGGAGTTCTATCACACGAAGAGAAAATGATAAATCCCAGGGGAGTGACTGTAAGGTTGTAGGTCAGCAGCATCTCTAAAGAGCAGTGTCTTAGCCTGCTGTCCATCAGTGAGTTCTGAGCACACTGTGTGGCGGGAACGCTTGAACACAACAAGAAAGGGCCCTTACAGTCTTTATCTCGGTTACTGGAAGTCCCTAGCTGGACCTGAAGCAGACATGATGCAAGTTCACTGTCATCGCTCAGTAGATTTTCCTAACACTGACTTTCTCTGCTAATAAGATTGAAGTACATGATCCGTGTTTAAACTTCGAAGATACTGCGAAAGAGTAAATGTATTAGATTTTGCGACTAAGCAAAACACTAGGGTGTTGAAGCAAAACCCTAGACTCTAAAATTTTTAATTAACTTTTTAAAAAGAAGTCTCTTCAAAAGTTAGAGTTGAGATCTGATATCAGAAGTACTGACTTCAGAACACACTCAAATTACAATCGCAAATTCATAACGAAAGCAAGTTTCACCTTTGCTCACCGGGCGCGAACTTTCCCCTTGAGTCTAATCTGTAGGTTTTCAGCATGCTGACATAATTTCTGAAGTCTGAGTTTGGAACAATACTGCTACCACAAGCATACAACACAACCATTCTGCCTCCGAAGGCAGAGGACGCAGGGCAAAGCACCAGCCTGTGGAAGGGCCGCCATGATCAGATGCTGCCTGAGTCTTTCTCTCCAATTTAAAACGAATTAAAGGACTAAGAAGGATTCTTCTATTCACGTTTCTCGAGCTGCCCCAGTTCACATAATCAAAAGACGACACCCTAAATAAATGATTGTCAAAGCTCAGCATTTACCATGAAAGGAAACAATTAGGATTTGGTGCTGCTTAACAATTAGAACATATGCGTGTTACAAATACAAAATCCTGTTGTTATTTTAATTTGTAACTCCCACCCCATTTTTCTTGTGTATGTGTATTTTTGAGAAAATGATAAAATTTGGATTTGTAATTGTTTTGATAAGGGAAATTATTTTTTAAAAAATTAAATCTCAGAAAATGAACTCCAAATTATTTTGTACAATTTCAGGACTCAAACAACTTTTTTTCTCTTCTAGAAAAAAATAATACTAAACTAATTTTATAATGTCCCAAATGAGTCAGGATACGAACAGCTCTATTTTACTCTTCTTTTCCAAATCAGGCCATTTATAGTCTCCTTTTAAATAGTAGTAAGCTGGAAATCCTATAACATCTGCATTGTAGCAAAACTGGTGCATTTTCTCAAATCAAAACCACTATGACATGTGATTTTCAGGAAACTTAAAGGTAGAAGTAGCTTTCTAAATTATTCTATTTAATGTGTAGATGTCTGCCAAAGCATCATCATCCATTGTCAGTGAAGAGCTGGTGCAGACTGCAACCACGACAAAAGAATGTGGAAATTCAGGTCGTCGGAAGCTCTGATAAAGGGGACACTCTCGTACCATGAAATATGGGTTTTCTGCCTACAAGTTATATTCCTAATTGCTCAAATCATTTATTTTGCCTCATTCTTTTCACGTGTTTAAGACAGTGCCGATTTCGTTTCAGAAGTTTGTGGAGCACAGTACCATTGACTCAGTGCTATCTTCCTCTCAGAACACTTCCTGAGCTCCAGATTGCCTTGTGTAGGATGACTGCCAGTCTCAGATGCCCCAGGAAGAGCAGGTGACGGCTGTAACAGCACTAAGGACTCGTGACATCAGAGTAAGGATAAAGCACATCAGTAAATAACAAGGGTCCCCCCCTCCCTCCCTAGGGAATTCAGAGAGATTCCAAATGATAAATGGACAACACTGAACACGCCGTCGTGATTCACCACAGCAGAGGTTCTCATGGAACCCCAGAGACAAATTTATAGTGAGCCGAAGCTCAGCAGGTCAGAGCTGAACACACCAGTCACAGAAACAGTGGGGATGGAGGACTGTCAGCCTAAAACTGCTATCAAGTTCTGCGTTGTCCAGACCTATTATACCCACTTCTGCATCCCTGCTTCTTCCTCACGAAGCTTTGGAGATGCCCAATTAATAACGGGTCATCATATCCTTCTCAACTGCATATGCTCATGTCGTTGGTAGACAAACTTCACCCTAAGTATCCTTGTATAGCCAATACTGGTTCTCTCTCTCCCTCCCTTTTCCCTCTCCCTCCCCTCTTCTCTTTCTCTTCCTGTTCTCTCCCCCCTTCTCTTTCTCTTCTCTCTGTCCCCTCCTCTCTCCTCTTTCTGTTTTTTCTCCTTTCTCCTTTCCTTCTTCTTCGTTTTATTTAGCTTTGTTTTTTGCTGCTGCCGTTCATTTGCTACTAAAAACATGCCTGTGTTTAATGTTCTTTTCTTGCATGTTTAACTCCTGGTCAGCACAAAGTCCCTATACTTTTTAGATCCTAGTGGATGGGACAGGTACCATTCTAATAAGCTACAGGATGATAAATTTTTATGAAGCTAAAGGAGAGGATGGAAAGTTACAAGAAAGTTGTTACAATAGACGGTGTGATAAAGAAAGTTGTGTTTGATAAAATATGAGATCAGAAGCCTGAAAAACTCGAGAAATAAAAGCCACAAGATGTTCCACAGGGTTGATAAAACGGTTTGAAAAGCGGGCATATACAGGGTGAGAATAATGAGTGGAGTCGCCATTGTGAGTGATGTGCCTCGAGACAGAGGCTGAGAAGGTGTCAGTCTGACTTTAGCCAGTGACGCAGCTTGGTAAGTGCTTTAGAAATTGCTGCAGCAACATTCGCAGGTATTGCTAGGTCAGTCTCCCAAAGGGGATCTCACTCACCAGCCTTCAGTCCATGAAAGCAGGCTGAGTGGCTATGCCCAGCTGGGTTGAGCATCTACAAAGCTGTCTGCCAGCCATTTGAGTTTGTTTTTGAAAATCTACTCATACCTTGGATACCATTATAAAAGCTGTATGAATGCAAACATTTCCTAGAGTCTGCTGTGTTTGTTAAGCTCAGCATATCTGGATATTAGATCCACCGGCAGGAAGCAGGACAGTCTCACAAGCTGAGAAATTCTAGTATAATCTCAAATCCAGTAACCCCTGGAATAGTAATTGCCAAGGCTAAAACAGGAACTACAGATTAGTTTGGCCAACAAAAAGCTATTGGACAGAATACATTGCTGACAGTTCCAATGTAAATCAGTGAGACAAAATTTTCTAGGTTTATGTTAGAGGGAAAAGGTCTTACAAATAACTTATGTTCCTCAGTTTACAATGGAGTTACTTCCTCATGAACCATGTTCAAAAAATTGAATTATTTATGGGAATGCTTGGAGGGAGGAAAGGGAGTGGTAAATAATATAACATCAAAAACCTAAAAATATTGACTATATTTGACATAGTTACTTATATACAATGCATACAATATATTTAAGAAGCCTCTCAGCTTATTGTATGCATATTGGAAATGTATTTAGTTTATATAACTACCCCTTCAAGCACCTCAAGCTTAACAACACAGTGCTTTCTTTGGACCAATGCATGCCTCATCGTCTTCATCTGATGGCCATTTCCGGTAGCTCCAGCCACTACCGGCGCCATGAGCATCCTGCCATGGGTCACTATGCTGAGAAATGCAAAACGGTCACGATCCTAAGCACGCTTCTACTCAATGGGCGCTGCTTTTATAAGCCTTCCTGCTAAATTGTTGGACTTCAACTATAACCGTTATAAAGCATTTTAAATCAATAAATGCGCCCACAATGAGGAAAAGAAGGAGTTTGTGTTCATAGTGGCCATGAAAACTTGCTTCCAACCCAGAGGAACTTCCTCCAGTCTAGACAAGAGAGCCTGCTCCCATCTCTCATGGGATACTTCGGAACCCCAGAGCCTGCTCCCATCTCGCATGGGATACTTCAGAACCCCCGGATCTGCCCCACGTCACGCACACCCTACGGGATGCGACATAAGCCAGACTGGCATGTCCCTTCCGCACCCCACAGAGGGCCCCTGCAAGGCTCTTCCGATCCGTGAGCCAATGCCTTCACCAGATCCCACTTGAAGATACCTCCGCCCTGCTTCCTTTTCACTTACCCTTGTGAGGTCTCATCATCCCCGTGACCCTGGCAGTGGCTTTGGGTGTTGGCTGGAGAGAGCGCAGCAGCAGTTAGGAGGTGATTTCCTGTAAAGCGAGCAATTAAACACAGCTCCGTGGTTCAGGTCACCTCATACTCAAACTGAGAAGTCACCGGCAGGGCAAGTCAGGCTGACAAACTTTTTCGCCGAGTTACACCTGCAGTGGAATCTTTGACTGGTTCCTTCCTAGTCCCTTTTCAAACCCTGTTTTCCAATTGCAAATCTTTTCTGAGAGCCTGTTCTCTGTCCGTTACCCAGAAATCGCTACTTGTGCCGCTTGCAACAGAACGGACATTTTAGCGAAAGGATGGTTTTAACTATGAAACATAACGGATGGGTTTTGGCCTGGAGACTTCAAAAATACCCTGGGGGCTAGGAAAAGGTGGGGACATTCTTTGGTTCTTACTTGTGCTTGCTCATTAGATGAAGGGAGGGGTGCCATTTACCTTATTCAGATGAGGAAAATATGCTGAGCTTAGTGAGTTTGAAAAAGGCATTCAGTTTCAAACTTCTCTGTGCCAATCTTGTTGACCGTCGGGATTTGGGGCACTTAAGTTTAGGTTTTCAGTCCTTTGTAGAATCACACTAAAATCTAAACAAGTCACCTTAGGCTTCAGCACCCTGCCGATTGAGCATGGTAGTCCAGAGAAAAGAGAAATGGATGTAGTCTAACGTGTGGGTTTGGATTTGTCAGGACAGGAGCCCCAAAGCAATTCTACTGCAGGGGATTCATTTGAAATTCGGAAGTGTCTGTGTCACTTGTTAAAAAGTTCTATCTAGTCAGACTGGATGAAGACATGTCCAATCCCATTTCAGCTTTATATAGGATACATTTGTACATAGGATTCCAGAACACTGAGTTACAAATAAGCATTTGAAACAAAACCTGATTCACTAAAGAAGGCTTGTAGCCACTGTATCTAGCAAGTTCAATGCTTTTTTGACTTGTTTGTACTTGTGGGTACATTTTCAAATGTAGGTTTTGAATGTATCTCTAGCCTAATTTTCATGAGTCCCACAATGCAGCGCACAACGCCTGTCTGCGCTCTATGCGCTACCATAAAGTTCCCGAGCCTCGGGCAAGGAGCTGGAGGTTGAAGCATACAGAGACACACAGAGAGAGACATGGACCGCTAGTCACTGGTAAGAAGCCCTTTATTCAGTAGCATCATGGAGGCTTATAGACCCAACAGTGAAGTGGGCCAACAGGTGAAAACCTTATCCTCTGATCCTCAAGGCCAAGGCAACACGTGCTCGTGAAGCAGAGCTGGTAAACAACTTCGACACAGCTTTCAGTAACTCAGATCAGAAGGAAAATAAAGATCGCTAGCAGGGAAGAGCAGCTGGAGGCCAGGACTCCAAATGGTCCCAACACCACAAGAAATAACAGAGTTTGATTCAAAACTCTGTATCAGGTCAAAAGTTCTCTAGGAAATGTTTTATTTTCTTAGAAAAAAAGTAAATTGGAGTACATCTAAGCCTATCTTATGCCTGACACAAGTCCCACACCGAGAGGTGACACATCTGGATCTTTGAGTATTCTTTGCAATGTCAGCCTCATTTATGTTCATTTCTGAATTGACGTTAAAAACTCCCCGCTTAGTTCACCGTGAACTGAATCACCGCATCTTGAAACAGTACTGCAAGTTTTTAATGTTTAGCACTTTATTCCTAGCTATAATTATCTGTTTTCTGAACTTTCCCAGGGAAGAAGCAAACAGATCCCTACTCACGACACATAAGGGCACTGAGGACAGACCACAGTCCAGCAAGGCAAACCAGTGAGCTTAGTGGACTTACTTATGGAAGAGGACATGTCAGGTTGCTTACAGGAGCATGAGTAACCCCGAAGCACTCCAGCTACACTAAAAGGCTCCACCTTTTGGCCTAGAAACTGAGCACAAGGCTCGAGTGCTCCCTCTACTCTTTATTTATAACCCACCCTCTATGTGTGTCGGTGCTAGAACTATTATTCAAACCCATTTAATGAAAATCTGTATATCGTTTCTGTTTAGACAGTGTGTTGGCAAATAGAATCATATTAAACACAGAAAACAAAGAAGAAAAGGTTTGTGGTTCAGTTTGACTGTAATAAAATCTTAACCCAAAGTATTCTAATTTCTTTGTTTCAAGCAAAGAAAGATTTAGTTTTCAAACAGGAAATAAAGTCCTTTTTCCAGGGTGGTAGTTAAAGACAATGGCTAATTAAAAACTAAAATAATAACAATGAAGGTAGAACCAGATGAACACACAGTGATTTATTTCTAACCCAGATCACAGCTACTCCATCTTAGTGGGGGAAGATAATGGAGTGTACACCCTTCTGAATTTCTCTTCATCACTGGCCGAGTGAATGGGAACAGAAGCCCTTCAGCCTTCTTGCTTGCTCTTCCCGCTGGCCCTGCTCAGACACAGTTCGTGTAGAATACTAGGTAAGGCAGAGAGTGGGTGGCTTGCCAATCACATTTTTCTATGGAAACAGTAGATGTTGCCACATTTTTTGGCCTCTTCTGGCAGTGCTGTGAAGAATTAAACAATGACATTAACGGACCACAATTAGACTAGGGATACCCTAGTCACCAGTTCAGGCTCCCATCCTCCAAAACGTGGCAGGTAGAGATGCCCCAGGCACTGCTAATGGCCTGAGTGAGCTGGAGGCTCTGGCCGGTAGACCAGCATTTACAGGGCTTTTGTTTTTTCTTTAATTCGCCAGGCCATATGCTGCCAGGCTTTTATGCAAATAGATAAAATTATAAATAATAAAAAAGAACCAACTGTTTTAGTGGTCAGCTGTTTTCTGTCCTCATTGTCATCCATGTGAGAGGCCAGTTAACGAACGAGGGGTCTTGGACTTCCAGGACACCCACCTAAAGGGATAAATGCTTCAAAAGCCAAGCCTCATTCACAGCACGTTAAACCTCTGCCCTGGAGTACAACCATGCCAAGTGTCTATTTGGCTGGGAAGCAAAGATCCCGGCCCTCCAGCTGGCCTGGACACTGGGCACTAGGCTTAAATGCTCCCTGCAGCTGAGGCCCATTGTCCACTGATGTGGGAAGAGAGAAGAGGTTAAGTTTCCTTTAGGCAGGGTTAAGTTGAGGCTCATGGGTTTATCAGACGCATGTATTTCAAATAATCGTGTTTAGAAACTGGAAGGATTAGTCAATTCCATTTCCAGTTCTAAAACTACAAGAAAATTAGCAATTATGGACTTTAGAAATCTCTAACTCTTTCGTAGCAAAGTCTGCAAGAAAATCTCTCCAAGCAGACTCTAAACCCTTTCCTGAAATACTTGCATTTAAAACTAAAATGTTGTTATACTTTTGAATAATTTCTGCTATCTCTCTCCTTATTACCGCGTCTCCCAGTCTGTACAAATGGAGAGTTTCACACCCTTGATAGAATTCACACATTTGTTTCCCATTTTAAAGCAGTAGACCTCCAACCGAAGGGGAAAAAAAAAGCGGACCAACTAAATTCCTATCTATGTGTGTTTATTTAAAACAGAGCCATTCTAGAGATGTTATGCTAATGTTCATTTACACCTCTACCGGGTCACTTTGAGACAACAATTTACACCTTTTAAAAGATGATCCAAAGCCAGTTGTAGTCAATTAGTGTACAACATGTTGCAGTTCGAGGATTGTCAAAATAAAGGGATCACAGAAATACATTCAGATGCACGTGTGTCTCCTGCAGCAAAGAGAGGGTATGCCTCAGAGAGCCCTGGCCTGCAGAAGCCAAGGCAGACAAATGTCTTGCAGGCATGCAGTGGCCATGTGTTCTCTACACTCTCTACTGTACCATGCCATCTTGGTGCCTTCTCAGGTTTGATTTGCTCTACTGGCTGACTGTCATCTAGCCAGGAAGGTCAACTGAGCTTTGCTCTGTTGCCAAGAATGGTGACTAAGTCCACCAGGCACATACATCATAGGTGACTAGAACTTTTCATTCACACACCCACCAAAATGATTTCAATGAAGAAAATCCATTAGTACATAGAAGTTAACATTCCCAAGGGAAACTAACCCACACTGGAGATAAAGGAGGAGCAGAATAAATTTCCAAGAAACTGTCTTAGAGACTCCCATAACTGGAAGTATCTTCCACTGTTACTGACACTCATGATCCTGCTTTCCTCATTGAGAATTTCTCCCAATGTTCAAGGGCTTGCTGAGCTGGGAAAGGGGGCTCCTCCATGATGCCTGCATATGGTCTTACAACAGAATGCCCCAACTCTCTGGTTCAAAGTTGAGAAAAACAGAACCCAAATTGACTCCAACTCGAGTGGATGTGAAAGTCAGAAGTATTATCATAGTTCCCAAGGATAAGACAAAAATTTCAGACATTTTTATGTTATGGGAAACCATGCAAGCGAGGCGTGGGAGACAAGACAGACGGTGAACCCCTGTGGCACTGGGGCACTTCAAAGTCTAGTACTTTTGACACGCGGAACTTAAAATCTGCTTTTAAAAGGGGTAAAAGTCCTTCTGTTATAGGACAATCCATGTCAGTAATAGGCAAGTTTATTTACATGGTGTAAACTAGATACTACTGTCTACTCAAGTACAACGGTACTCACACATGAACACATGAGTGTTGTGTGATGCTTTACTCTTTTGGTTTTTTGAGGGGCCTACCACCCAGCTCCCAAATAAATCCCACGCAGAGGCTTATTCTTAGTTATGAATGCCTGGACTTAGCTTGCTTGTTTCTTGCCAGCTATTCTTAAATTATCCCAACTACCTGTTGACTCTGGGGTTTTATATTTCTCTATTTCTAATATTTTTAAATATTTCTATTTATATTTCTCTATTTTATCTTTCTCCTTTCTTAACTTCTTTCTCTGTGGTTTGCTGGCCCCTGACAACCTCCTCTCCTTGTTCTCTCCCTCATTTCTCCTTCTAATTATCCTCTCTGGCTGCCAGCCCTGCCTATCCTTGCTCCTGCCTCGCTATTGGGCGTTCAACGCTTTATTAGACCATCAGGTGTTTTAGGCAGGCAAAGAATCCCAGCTGCACAGAGGTAAACACATGCAGCATAAACACAAGCAGCGCACCTGAAAATCATATTCCTCAACACGCGTAATCGTGCACACGTACACACATAGAATAACTGCTTGAGAAGTCAAGAGTTGTCTCAGATTCCTGAAGCTGATACCATTCTTGTGAATAGCACAGACTCATTGACTTAGGAAACACTCCTAGATTCACAGTCTTCACCCAGCCAAACTGAGCCCTTAGAAACCATTCGGCTTTATTGCCTCTTTTGTGTGTGTGATAGAACTGAAGTTTGAGTGGAGTACGTAGCTTACTTATCTGATGGACCACAGCTCAATAG